GCATGGAGCACTGGGTGTTGTGCACGAACAATGAATCATGGAACACTTCATCTAGAACTAATGATGTAATGTATGGGGATTAACATAAGAATAAAAAATAAATAAATAAATAAACCATCAATGGCTCAGCCATTACTCACGGAGTAGCCATTATCAGTCACATACACAAGAACTTCCCTTGGAATTCAGAGTTCCTTTCAGCAGTTTGTTGAAAACACATTCATGATGGAATCTGTGCTGGTGCGAAATACCTCATGCCTTTGACCTCATCGTTGAGCTATGTGCCAGGGTCTGAGAAGCAGGAGCCAACGTGACCAGCCCCTGCTTCACTGCAGATGCAGACGGGTGCTGAAGCCCTTGCTGGTGCCCTCGTGCCCAGTGCGTTTGGCTCTCGATTTCCTGTCACATCTGTTCAGTCACCTCAGCTTAACCCTATACACCTGGTTGGATGGCGTAGGTTATAAAGGGTTGCAAATCTCTTCTCGATGGAACATCATGTATATGGAAACCTCGTGCATAGATCATTTTAATAATAAAGTTCATTGTTCGAAATGTGCATTTTCAGGGTAACTTGCTTTTTGGGGAATACGGGAAGTTACAACACTCCGTTCCCACTGTCTTTATCGGGAGGATTTTTAGCTCATGTTTCAAAAAGACTTGGCAGCACAGGTCATTACGGGACTTGACAATGTCAGCCCAGCTTTGTAGCCAGATCATGCAGTTCTTGTAAAGACAGTGGTTTTTCATCCACTGCTCTGATTTAGAGGGTTGTTGTTGTTGGGGTTTTTTTCTATAAAAGGTTTTAAAAACATAGAAACAGGAAGCTGATGCCAGAATCGATCCGACTCGCTTTTCCCTTCTTAAAGAGCTTCTCCTTAGCCCTCCTGCCCCGCCAGGCGAGTGCGGGAGCCGGCCCACTGCAGTTACGGAGACTGAAATCAATCGGAGCACTGCCATTTTGATAACACCGCCCTGTGGGGCAATTACCGGCGACCCCTCCGAGTCCACAGGAGGCGTCGAAAGGATTGCTGTGGAATAGATCTGGGGAGACGAGGACATATGTATCAGTTGGCATGAATTTTTTTTTTCTTTGACCAAGCCAGGAAAAAAATGTCATTCTATAAAATTTGCTTTAAGTAGATAATTTTAGTACACTTGAAACTAAGGTAATATTGTGTGTCAAATATACTTCAGTTAAAAAAAAAGGAATAGATCATTTTATATATTAGTGTATACATTTGTGTGGTGAAAATTTTTTCATGAGTTCCATTACAAAGGTGATTCCCCTAAACAAAGTGATCTTATATGTTGTATGTCTCTTTAGTTATTTAGCATATGCACAATTTTCTTGGCTTCTCAACCGGGCTATGGCATTTTCTCTCTGTCTTTTTTTTTTTGAGAGCTTAGAGCCTTCTCAGGTATAGGCTCTGATATTTTAAAAAAGAGTGAAGAGCTTCTGCTGCTATTATATTCCACATAATTCCTGTCACAGTATTAGGCCTATAATAGACCACTTCAAAACAACTCTGTTTTAGGTGAAATTCAAATGTAGTGGGAAATTCATGTGTCAGATTTTCAAAATCTGGACTCCATTTAGACTAGGAGGGAATTTTGATACTTAACCACCTTCCATTCACATCTGTTTATGCTTTGTGCATGCCCACATTTGTAAATCTCATGTGTCGGAACTATTCTGTGATACCATTTGGAGACAAATACTCGACCCTCAGGATTTAATTGGTATATTGTAAAGAGGTTCCTGCTAATTGATTTTGAAGGAAGAGTTGGGCCGCAACAGAGCTAGGTCCCCTGGCATTTTTGACACCACGTTATCTGCATGGGTACTTTCACTCATGTATTAAACAATAATGCCATTGGGGTGCCTGCGTGGCTCGGTCGTTAAGCGTCTGCCTTCGGCTCAGGTCATGATCCCAGGGTCCTGGGATCGAGCCCTGCATCGGGCTCCCTGCTCGGCGGGAAGCCTGCTTCTCCTTCTCCCTCTCCCACTCCCTCTGTGAGTGTTGTGTTCCCTCTTTCGCTGTGTCTCTCTCTGTCAAATAAATAAAATCTTAAAAACAAACAAACAATAATGCCATTATTTGCCATGTGTTCCCCATAACTTGGTAGATAAATTTGAGCAACCACAACTAAGAGTAAATCATTCTTTGTTTTTCAAAGGTCTCATCAGAAAATGGAAGACTCAGAAGAAAGCAGTGATGAAATTCTCGCTCGTCTAACGTCTGCGGTAAGGCATGCAGTTTTCCCTGCCTATGGGGGCAGAAAATAAGAAGGGCCAGGGTCTTCAAAGGAAGGCGTTTGGGTAGCAATGCAGAGAGGAACTTGCTCTGTAGGTGCACGTCAATGTAGGAGGCCCACATCAAGGCAGAAGGAGACATGACATTGACTTGCTATCCTCAGTGCAGCTTCTCCAGCAAGATCATAGATATTCCTGGTGGAAAGTTCCAGAACCGTAGCGGGGGCGTGATATCTGATTTTCAAAGTACAGTATGACTTAACCTAGGGATTGTTGTGACCTGCCACACAAAGGAGAAAAGACCTTATGTTTCATTAGGGAAAAAAAAAAAGAATTACCTCAACCAACAAAAGACCAGGTCGTTGGTTTCTAACGTACTAGGTTGCAGCATTATCGGTTGTTTTCTAAAACCACTAATCAAGAGTTGGTAATTACCTTGTTGGTTGAGGAAAAGCTCATGCCCTTCTTAATAGAAAAAGCTAGCTATGGTTGCTAATCATTGAGCCCTAGTTTTTGACAGACTCTAACTATCCAGACACAATATTTATCCATTGGTTTGGCTTTTTGGAAACTTTTCTAACCTCTCCAAAGATTCTTCAGTTCTGCTTTAACTTCATTATTGAAATGGTAATTGCTGAAAATTGTGCTGGATTGGGATGTGTACGTGGATGAAACTGATCTTTCACAGAGTTTTATACACCAGGTCTTAGCATCTGCACACAGCTTGAAAGTTAAAAGTTGCCTTTCCTACCCTTCTGGAATGTAGCTTAGAAAAGTAGTTTTTTACTAAATACAGTGATTGGTGGTATAAAGCTTCATGTGAAATGGAATCTTGATAGCATGTTAAGAAAAAAATATTTAAAGTGACCTTTGCAGTTTTTTATTTAACCTTTTTTTAATTGAGGCATAAATGACATACAACAGACATTAGTTTCAGGTATATAACCTGATGATTTTGTGTTTGTATATATATTGTGAAATGATCACCACAATAAGTCTAGTTAACATCCATCACATCACATAGTTACAGAATATTTTTTCTTGTGATGTGGACTTTTAAGATTTGCTCTCTCTTAACAACTTTTAAATATACAGTAGTCACCATGCTGTACAGTACATACTATGACTTATTTTATAACTGCAAGTTTACCTTTTGACTCCCTTTACCCATTGTGCCGACCCCTGAACTTCTCACCTCTGGCAACCACCAATCTGTTCCATATATCTATGAGCTTGTTTTTTACTATTGCTGTTGTTGTTGTTTTAAATTACACATATATGTGAGAATGTGAGATCCCATGCTATTTCTCTTTCTCTCTCTGATTTATTTCACTTAGCAAAATGCTTTAAGTTCTATCCATGTTGTCACCAATGGCAAGATCTCATTCTTTTTTTATGGCAAAGTGGTATTCTATTGTGTGGTGTGTGTGTGTGTGTATCACATCTATTTTATCTATTCATCGATGGGCACAGGTTATTTCCATATCTTGGCTATTGTAAATAATGCTGCAGTGAACGTAGGGGTGCATATATCTTCTAGTGTTTTTGTTTTCTTTGGATAAATACCCAGAGATGGAATTGTTGGATCATATGGTAGTTCTATTTTTAATTTTTTGAGGCACCTCCATACTGTTTTCCAGAGTGGCTACACCAATTTACATTCCCACAAACAGTGCACAACAGTTCCTTTTTCTCTATATCCTCTCCAACATTTGTTATTTCTTGTCTTTTTGATTATAGTCATTTGGACAGGTGGGAGGTAATATCTCATTGTGATTTTAATTTGCATTTCCCTGATGATTAGTGGTGTTGAGCATCTTTTCAAGTACCTGTTGGCCATCTGTTTGTCTTCCCTTGGGAAAATGTGTATTCGGGTCTTCTGCCCATTTTTCAGTTGGATTGTTTGGTTTTTTGCTATTGACTTGTATTTGATATATATATGACTTGTAAATATTATCAGATATATGAGTTGCAAATAGTCCCATTCAGTAGTTGCCTTTTTATTTTGTTGGTGGTTTCCCTTTGCTGTACAGAAGCTTTTTAATTTGATATAGTCCCACTTACTGATTTTTGCTTTTGTTGTTTTTGTTTTTGGTATTGGATCCAAAAAATCATTGCCAAGACCAATGTCAGGGAGGTTACTGCCTATATTTTCTTCTAAGAGTTTTATGTTGTTTCAGGTCTTACAGTCAAGTCTTTAATCCATTTTGAATTTATTTTTTTTATGATTTAAGAAAATGATCTAGTTTAATTCTTTTGCAGCAGCTGTCCAGTTTTTCCAGTACAATTATTGAGGAGATCATACTTTCTTCACTGTATATTTTTGGCTCCTTTGTCATACATTAATTGACCATATATGCTTGGGTTTATTTCTGAACTTTTTATTCTCTTCCTTTGATCTGTGTGTCTGTTTTTATGTCAGTACCGTAGTGTTTTGATTACTGTAGCTTTGTGATACAGTTTGAAATTGGGGAGCATGATGCCTCCAGCTTTGTTCTTCTTTCTCCAGATTCCTTTGGCTTTTTGGAGTCTTTTGTGGTATGATGCAAATTTTAGAATTGTTCTATTTCTGTGAAAAATGCCATTGGAATTTTGATAGGGATTTTGCTGAATCTATAGACTGTGCAGTTTAAAATATTGACCAAAAAGGAGTACCTGTTGTGTGCAAAATCATAACAGCCATCTTTTTAGAAAGCACTCACTATGGACCAGTTACAGTGTTAAACATTCTATGTATTCATATATACACATACATATACATTCTGCTAAACTTCACAACAACCCTATGAAATAGGTGGCATTATCCCTGTTTTATAGATAGGAAAGCTTGTAGAGGTAAAGTAACTTGCCCAAGGTCACTCACCTAGAAAGGAACAAAGCCAGAATCTGAACTCAGAATTTTCTACTTCCTAATCATGTTTCCTTACCAACTATGCCTCATTTTTTTGGTAATGTAATATATTATCGGGATAGTTTCAGAAGCAGCAAAGACATGTGAGATGTTTCCTACAGCCATACCAGGAAGACAAGTACTTTTAGAGAGTTCAGGTACAAAGTGATTGGCAATTGAGCACTGAATATAGTGGTGTATAGATAGTAGATTCAAGAACAGTAACAACTTCATCAAAGAGTCTTGAACTACCATTGAAGGCAGTCAGGATTTGAACATGTGGTAATTAGGAGGACATGTACTCTAGCAGTGGGGTTTATTGTGTGCAGGTGGAGAAAGGAGAAAGGGAAAATGCTGAGTAGAGCCAACTGGTTAGAGAAGAAGCTCCTGGTTAAGAAAAGTGAAAGACTTTTTGAACAACAGATTAACAAAATGAAATAGATACATAAGAAAAAAGAAAGATGAAGGGCACCTGGCTCAGTTAGTAGAGCATGTGACTCTTGATCTGGGGGTTGTGAGACCAAGCCCCACATTGGGCATAGAGCTTACTTAAAAAAAAGAAAGAAAGAAAAAGTAGAGTTGGAGGTGGGGATACTGATTGAGAGGTTGCCGAATACCTACTTTATTGTGATTTTTGTGGGAACAAAAAGAAAAATGAGTTCAAAAAGGAGCATAAAGAATTTTTAAAAAATCAGTAGGACTAGGTAAAGATAGAAGAGGACTCAGAATGGAAAAGTGATGATACTCTTAGGAAGCTGAGTAAAATATGTGGAAGGAAACATGGAGTTTGAACATGCTGAGTTTGAGGACAAAGAAATATAAAATATATAAATATTCAAGAAACATCTGGAGATGTGAACCTGGAGCTTAGAGAGGTCAGGGCTAAAGTTAGAGGAACCAGTCACAGAGAGGTTGTCAGTTGAAGAGCATACTTGGGAAACGTCCAAAGACAGGAAATGGAAACATGAGCATCGTTGAGTAGGAGATAAAGCTGATGGGGCTTCCATCTCTTGCTTACTTAAGACCAACATCCAAAACAAACCCAATTAGGCTATTTCTCTTTCTTTAGGCTAAATTTTCATGATGGAAATTCTGGAGATAAGAAAACACAAATATCTTCCCTGGGCTTGACTGAAATTTGTGATTTTTGTTCACACAGTGTAATTGTCGAGCCACTGAGGTAATGTAAATTAGGCTAAGTTGTGAATTATGTGTATTAGATGCCTATTTGGTGGGATGGGTACATTAGTGGCACTTACAGAAGAACAAGGGGACATGTGTTGTGGTATGCTGTGCTGCTTGGTCCAGTGAGTCAGCCATTACTTAGATGGTGAAAAAGAACAGTGCTGAGTATCTGTAATAAAACACTAACCTGGTAGTGGTAGTGATGGAGAGTTTGTGGACATATCTTGAGAGATGAATTAAAATTACAAATCATGGGGCACCTGGCTGGCTCCGTTGGTAGAGCGGGTGACTCTTGATCTTGGGGTTGTGAGTTTGAGCGCCCCTGTTAGGTGTAGAGATTACTTAAAATCTTTTTTAAAAAATGAAATATCAACTGTGCTGAATCTAGGAGGAAAGATCACTGAGGAGGAGGGCAAAATCTAAAATTCTGGGATCATTAACTAGACATTCTTACTCCCTTGTATTCCTTCTAAAAGCTGATTTGGTTTATCATTCTCATCAGTTTCATTTTCTCTGTATGTTACTGCTCTCTCCCTTTTCTCATTTTCTTCAGTTCATCCAACTTTATCATAGAAGCTCTGCATTTAATGCTTTGAATAGAATTTCTAAATTCCTTCTCATAGGGTATAGTATCACTCCTCCAAGAAGTACCACTGAGCTGAAAAAAAAATTATAACCCAAATTATAAATGGAGTGTTGGCTACAAGTTCTAGAAGACCTTGAAGCAAATAAATCCCCCCCAAAGCAAAAATTCATGCTAGGATATATAATGTTTGGTGAAAGTGTTAGAAAAAAAGAAACCTGCAATGAAATTTCTTTTAACACATCTCTAGGAACAAAAAACATGGTTATAACTGACTGCTGCCCATTGTCAGTGTCACAAAAACATCTTCTCCTGCTCAGTGCCCAGAAGTTG